AATATTTTTCACGTAAATCCAAAAATATTTCACTACTTTTTAAGCATATGCATTCTCCTAAATTACTATTAAATTTTTTTATTTTTTTTTTGAAGAATGGCCACAAAACAGGGACTTAATCACAAAATAAAATCAGTCTTCTTTAGATAAATATAGGACTAACGTGTAAATATGTTGGAGGTGGGGTGAAGAAAGGGGTTTTGGTGCAAAGTAGAAACTTTAAAGCCACGGCAAAGGTAGATGGAGAAAATGGGGGAGATCAGATTGCGTGAAGCAAGCATAGACTGCGGTCACAGTACTACAGCGAATTCAACCGCCATGGATATGGATGATAAAACTCCATCCCCCACGTGCGATCTACTCGTGTGACATGAATCAACCCATCTAATCATCCCCTCCTCTCTTGTCTTTTCTGTCACATAAGGCAATGCTGCCTACACTGCAACCCTAAAAACCCTGTGTTTTTTATATATTCTAAAATTTCAAGATATTAGCTATGATGTATTAGAATTGATAAAATAAAAAATGAGAACCTATATTACTACAAGACTCGAGGGTGTTTGACGCCCATTTTTTGGATAATAGAATTTTTGAAATAATGATTGATGGAAGAATGTGTGGTGAAAAAGTTATGAAAAGTTATAAATTTGTGTGTAATATTATTTTATTGAGAGAGTGTGTGGTGGAAATGAAGAAAGAGAAAAAAAATGAGAATGAGTGACAAACAGAGGCTAAATATGAAATAGAAGATAATGAAATAAAGACTTGGCCATTGTTTGGACTCCATTTTAATGAAAATTTATAGAAAAAATGAATTTTAAAATAGTAATTTTTGAAAATGTGTGATAAAAAAATAAGGATTTTTTTTTATGAGTAATATTATTTTATAGAAAAATGTGATTGAAAATGAATTTTGATAAAATAAGTTTTTGAAAAAATAAAAAAAATAGGGCAAACATTGATTGAGACAATTACATACATGTCAAAATACTACCCCTTCAAAAAAAAAAAAAAAATAATAATAATAATAATAAATCACTAAAACTCCGCATACCGGAGCACGTAATATAATCAGTAATAATAAGAAGAACAAAGCCGTGAAATTTTTTACTTATTTTAGTTTAGGGAAAAATAAAATTTTAAAATTAACTCTTAGGAGTTTGACGATTATTATTTGAGTAAAATGAAGGCCTATTTGATATCTTTCATTTTCCATGGAATTTGGAAATCATTTTCCATTTTTCATCTTTTACAATGTTTGATAGGCAAAATTTTCCTTGGAATTGGTTTTCCTCCTAGCCCCCACGTGACCTTCTTTTCTTGGTTTTCAATGAATTTGTTTTCCCACCATTTTGGTGGGAAAATGATTTTCCACATTTTTTTTAGTAATGGAAACAAATTTTATTCCTAATTATAACAAATTATATCCCTTTAATGGATAATTTTCATTTAAAACAAAATCAAACGAATTTCAAAAGATACAAAATTTCAATATTTTCCCCATGAAAAATTGTACTAATCAAACCGAATTAATTGAAGATTCTCAAGAAAACAATTCTAGGAAATTCAATTCCCTAAAATTCATTTTCTTTCAACTCAAATTTCACTCTTACAATTAAACAGATCCGAAGTTTTTAATTGAAAAATATATAGTTAAAAAGTAGAAAAAAATTTAGAATTACGTGCAAAATATTTCAATATGTAAATGTGTAGTCCAAAATGAGTAAAAAAAATTGAAATAATGATGGTCAAACATGGATATATTAGAATTGAAGGCACTCACTCGATTGATTGAAGAAGAGGGGGATTTACTTTACCGAGGAGACATGATTTGTGATTAGTAAGTGATCGTTGATTCCTTTTGTCCCAAAAATTTATAAATAGATAAAATGAATGATAGTTAAATAAATAGTACTTCTGGATTTATTTAAACAAATATTCCCTGAGTACAGGGAATATTTACAGAATTTGTACTGTGGCATCATCCTGTTCATCTGTGTTTTTTCCTTTTTTCACAAACTGTGAATCTGCACCATGAATTTTAAAATCCTATATAAAATTTGTAAGAATTCCCTGTACCTATAGACTCGTTCTTATTTAAATTTATAGTAAAAAAATTTGAAGTTTGATAATGAATTTACAAATTTTACCAAATGGAGGTTAAATTAATTTCTTGATGTTGATGTGGTCCCACACATTTTGTTCTATAACATTTTATTGAAAAATTAATGGAATGTAAGGTGGAAAGGAGCTAACATTTTGTCAAAGGAAATGAATGCATAGTTATAGCTTAGCCTACATTAGTCTAGTCAAGCCCACGCAGCTTAGCACGGAGTCCAATGTTGAATTTTTCAAACCGTGTTTGATTATGTATAATTTTCAAACCGTATTTGATTATTCTTTACATGACCAGAATTGTTAATCGCATCGAATCAACGCAAAGATAAGAATCAGCCCTCTCGAAAACATTCTCCATTCAAAGGAAAATTTTCGACAAGAGCAAACTCCGAAAACCCTATATTTCTTCTTTCTACAAACCCTTCGACTCTTAGACGCACCCAAAAACTCCAAAAAATGGCAAAATCTTACTAAAATTTCGACGGAAAATCTGATATTTATTTTTTAGAAATAAATTTTCTCTGAGATATCAACATATTTAATATTAATTTGGCTAATAACTTCAAAAGATAAATAGGCTCAAGAAAATAGTCATAAAACTATTTTTAGATTTCTAGGCCTACATTTATTATAAGAGCTTGTTTGGGAAGGATTAAAATCGGATTAAAATTGAAAAACTAGCCGTTATTGTTGACTTTGATTAGACGGATGGGACCCAATAACGGCTATATTTTCAATTTTAATTGGATTAAAATCATTACAAACAAGCCCTAAGGGTTATTTTAAGAGCTTGTTTGAGAGGGATTAAAATCAAATTAAAATTGAAAATATAGGCCATGTCGGTATAAATTTTTAGGCCAATTTCTACCGTTGGAGCCGCAAATCTTGACCTTGTTGTGAGATGTGGGCTCCGCAAATTTGACAAAAAAGGGTACAAAAATTGATTAAAAGGTGGTAAAAATTTATACCAGACAGTCTCATAGTCGTTGGAGTTGACAATGACGATTATATTTTCAATTTTAATTGAATTTTAATCATTTCCAAACAAGCTGTAAGTTGTCCAAGTAGCAATAAGAGCTCACTTTTAATTGTTCGATAAAGTTGAAATGCATTCGATTCATGGAACAAGTGAGCATTATTCTTCCTCTTAGCAATTGATTAGAGAAATAGTTGAGAGCTTCAAAAGGAGGTAAGACAGTGTGAAGTAATCAAAGTTGAAGTGATTGCACGCATTTTCCCAAGAATACCCTACTCTGTCTCTGTCACTGTCACCCCAATTTTATAGCCTTGGACCAACCATCCCCCTACTATATAAGACAATTTTATCATTCCTTAATCATTCACCTCTTTTAACATTTTTGCTTTTATTTCCTCTTTCGCCCCCGGATTGTCTCTCCTCGACAGTAAAATTCTTTAATTCTCATATTTTTTTTCTAATACATTTAAATGTTAAAATATTTTACACATAAATTTAAAATTTTTCTTCATTTTTTAATCACACATTCTCTAAAAAATCAATATTTAAAATATTATTTTTTTAATAATAACTATCAAACATGGGATTAAATGGCTCATCATTTTCTTTTTTCTATTTTTTTACGGAGGAAGAACGACAACACAAAAACTAGTCATGAGGTCTCTAACAAAAGCCATTCTGGCCATGTTTACAAGAAGTAAGGATTAGTAAAGTCCGGTGTGCCCGAGCCCCATTTTTCTGGATCAATAGATTTTGGAATCGTTATTTTTTTAAGAATGTATGGTTAAAGAATAAGAAATTTTTTTGAATTTACATGCAAAATTATTTTATTGAAAGAACGTATAGTTTAAAATGAATTTTG